TTTTTCTTTCTAAGACCTTTTAGGCTAATTGGTCTGAGATTTTCAGGGTCCAGGTTTCGGCTCCATAGCACAGCACCGCTGTTATCAGAGACTTATATACTTTCCATATGGTTAGTTTGGTCAGAAAGCTTGATTACATCAGTTTCTGGAGGCCATAGTAGACTTTGTTTGGATATCCTATTTCTCATCTCATCATTTCCCTTGTTATCTCAATTTGATTCCATTCCAAAATAGATGGATCGATTAAAGCGATAGATACCCACGACTAAATCTCGTGGCCTTCTGGTGGTGAAAGCAGATAATACCATATACCTACTTTATTTTAGGTTCATTAATCACTAGTCCAACTTTCCTGCTTTTATTATCCAATTCAACTAGTAATACTTTTACAGCACATTCTCTTCTGCACAATATCATCCGTATAATCATCAATCTGCGCAGTAAGGATTGTAAGATTTCCACCCGGAACAATTTTTTCCACAGCTTTATGGTGGATTAACTTGTAGAATATTGCTAAAACGGCATCTCGATGTCTTACTCCATTGTTGTACATGATTTTGCGACTGGTTTGATTTCCAGTGAGGATTATCGCTTGTGCATGAGCCATTGTAAACAAATATAAAATTAACAAAAGTAAAATAATAATCAAAAACTATGTACAATAAAAAAATAAAATAACCCAAAGATAAGTAAATTAAAAAACATAAAAACAAAGTCATACCTATGTACAATATATACATATTATATATATATATATATATATATAATATATATATATATATATATATATATATATATATATATATATATATATATACAACATATAGGCAGGGAACCCCAAGCCAGGCTTCTTCCCCGATTATAGAAGGAAAAGCAGAATTCCAAGAGATCCCTTCGCTACTCTCTCAACCGCGTTGCTGGTGGGAATTTGAAACTAGAGACAACTTAAAAGGAGATGTTGACAACTATGTACATGCTCTGGAGATGCCTCAAATTCTTTCTCCTCATCACCATTATCTTTGTCTTTTCGACATTTACTTGAAGACCAAATGTCTGATCCTTTTGCTTGAACCTTTCAAACGAATCTTTGATGTTTTGGCGAAACATTCCGGGGATGGCGACGTCGTCAGCATATGCTATTAATTGACAGGTTTTACTGAATATCAGTCTCCCCTATTTCCAGCTTTTCAAGCATGATAATGCTTTGTATAATGATATTAAAGAGATGTGGAGCTAAGGGGTCGCTTTGTCTAAGAACAGTGTAGACACGAAATGTGCGAGTTAGCCCCCAGTTCACTTTGACATTACTGACTGTATTGTGCATTTAATGAGTGTATTTTTTTTTCCTTTAGTCGACCCAAGACTCCCACTGAAGTCCTATATTGCTCACAATCGTATCATATGCTTCCTTTAATTTTTTTTCGCACATTAGCCTCATAATGAAGATTTGGTCAATGATAGATCTATTTGGTCGGAATCCATCTTGATAATCTCCAAGCTTTCTCTCAACATAATACAGTTGGCGGTTATACAGGACTATAGAGAACATCATTTATGACGTATTTATCAAGCATATATCCCTATAATTTTCACAGTCATTTGTATCTCCTTTTTTTTCTTGAAAGATTACTGCCTCGAGCAATTCCTTTGGCATACGATTAAATTGTTTATTAAAATTGTAACTAATCAATTACAGTATTCATCAAATAATGTCTTTTGTTACTCAGATTCCAAAATAAATGACTTAAACTAATTGAAATAGTTTATTTTTCTTGAGTTTATATTTTCTCACAGGAACTGTATCAACACAGTAATCTCGTGTGCCCGTAAATTGTTAAATTTCATATAAAAAAAAAATTAAAATTTTATCGTGAAATAAAAATTAAATGTAGAATACCTAGAATATACAATCCCTATACAATAGAAGTATAATAATTAGTTCTTAGTATCCAATTACAATCCAAATGATTATTGTGTATTAAATTAAGCGCCACCTAAAATATTTTTTTTTTCTCGTTAACCGCCTAACTCGGAGTTGTTCTTGAGGCCCAACCTATTCTTACAAAAGTGGGAATTGGATGGGTCTGCCGCGTAACAAATTTTAACCAGGTTGGAATCGAACTCTCGTCGCTATACTCTAGAATGCTAAAGCTTGCGTATTAACACATTCGGCCATCCACTACAGTGCTAGAAAACAATTTTTATCACCAAGTCCGCCATTACTTGCTCATGTTTAGCCGCGTTTTTTAACATTCTACGCAACTCTACAGTCTCTTCTAATTGAGTTGGAGTAATCTATACCACTACAACTGATGAAGGGTCTTGGGTTCAGTACTATTTAGATCAAGTACTGTTTCTTTGTCAACGGTTATACAAGCTGATTTGACTGAGATGACGTTTAACCCCTATATTTTCCCTCTTAATTAATTATTTAATTAAGAGTACCCACTTTATAGAGGCTGGATGTGCCCCAGGAGGTTCTCCTGACCCCAGCGTCGCCACTGGGCACCCCACTCAGCACCCCGTTCTCTAGTTGAGTTAGAGGTTTGAAAAATTGTATATTACTTGAATGAGTGTTGGAGGAGTGCCATTTGGAAGTCTCAATTTTTTCCTCAACATTCCACCATTTTGATAAACTTAATTTGGAAACAAATTATAAAATAGTCAAAAAACAAATCAATGAATAGTCAAAATTTTATTCAGTTCTCTTATGTATGTATTAATGTAAAATCAGATAACTTTTTATCTGTTCCAATTATCTGTTCTCAAAAAAAAAAATAATAAGTGGAAAATATAACTTCAGTGACGGAACTCTCGATTCTTTTTTTTTTTTTTTCATTTTTGTTATCATTTACTAAAAGGAAAATAATTTTCAGTACATTTCCTTGAAATCCAATGTGGTTTACATTACATTGTTTTTGTAAACAGGGTAAAAATGGTACAAGTGGTTCATGATTCCAAACAGTTGCAAAACAAAGTTTTAATTAAACCACCAAATGAAACAAAGCTTCTTGACTTTAGTTTTCCTTATTTACAATATTTTTGCTACAATATAATCGTGATCGACAAGGAAAATTTAAAAAGTAAATAAAAAAATTAGATAACTTTGTATTGAGAACACTATTTTAAATTTGGCGGCCCATAGCGATATGTGTGTGTGTGTGTGTAAATAATATATACTACTATATTTTATAATTATTATTATTTATTTTATGTTTGCTCCTATAATTTATTTTTATTATTTTAATGCATAGCAAATTTGTATAACAGCGAAAATCTTTAGGTGTGAATATTTCCTAAATATAGCGTTTGCGGACATACCTTCAGAGAAATCTTTTTTCTTGTTTTGAGATCCTTAATTCATTTTTGCAGTTGAGCCACTTACCTCTGAAACACCCTGTATATATATGTGAATGTGCGTGTGTAACTTTGCATTCGCATGCAAACGTTTTGTACGAGGTATGTTGTTGATCAAACCTGTACCCCAGCCAAACTGGCACAAAAAAGTGATCTAGCTTCCAAAAGATCGGGTAATTCAAATTTCTTTTTTATATTATTAGGCGTGCAGATACTATACCAAATACAAGTTTCTGCCCTTGAAAGCTTCCTTGAGGATTCGCTGAAGTGCTCCAAAAACCGCTGAAATACCGAAATTGTACGCTAAATATCTTTTTCTTGAAGTTACATAGATAAAAAATGGTTATATTCAATCTCAAACAACTTAAAATTATCTAACATTTTTATACATAACATTTTTTTTTCTAAACCAAAGAGAAAGCTAACTATCAAGCTATCAAAATTGGTCAAGTTCCAAAAAAAAAAAAACCTTAATACAACTGTACGTTAATATAACCATTATAGCCAACTATAACTTAAACATTTATTGATGTGGCAGAGGACTCTAGACGCCTATTAAGTGCTTTTTCTAAGTAACTGTTTCAAATATTTAAAAAAATGATCAGTGTTTTAGAAAGAGAAATGTATTCTTCAGATGCGTTTCTGGTTATTGCTGGCCGTTTTTTTACAAAAGACACTTAATTTTTAACTTGATTTTACTGGTGTTTTTTATTTCCCAGGCCAATCATTATTTAATATTGTTTCATGTTTTAGTATTCTCTAACTATCCAGATTTAATAAGAGGCCAATTATGGCAAAATTAAGCCAAATACTGAAACTCAGTGACCGCAAAACTAACTCAAGTCAAAGACGTCAATCTGCTATATTTGAAGGCCATTTTGTGACAGTGCGTAAACTTTTTTTTGTGCGAATATTGGCTTTTATTTAATATTTAATTACACGGAACACAACTATATGCAATTTATAGGGATGCGTGGAGAGGAAGCACTGTAGAGGGGTCTAGCCCACCATGTAACATACTTTTCAAATCGCCTCCCGACTACCGTCTACCGTTCCAGTCAATGGCTCATTAACTTCAAGAAAACCTTCCGAATTCTCTGAACGAGGTTCAAAATGGAATAATATAATTCTTCCGTTCAAAACTGAGATAGAACTATTGTGAAAAAATAGAAATGGGTAAATTCTGAAAACTCGATAGTTCGCTTCCTGTTGGATATAGAAAAAAATGTTTTGTACAAACATTTTAAGCTATTTAAGATTGAATATAACCATTTTTTTATCTCCGTTGCTCTAAAAACGAGATATTAAGCATAATTCAAAAAAAGTTCGAAATTTGAATGGTTTTTGGAGTACTGCAACGAACCCACAAGGCTTTCACGGGCGGAAACTTGGATTTTTTTATAGTCACTGCATATCTAACAATATAAAAAAGAAATTTGAATTACCCGACCTTTCGCAAGGTAACATGGCTAATTTGACAGGGACACTGGGTTCCTCGTTAGATACCTTAAAATAATAAATTTTATATAATAAAGATTTAAATTAATATATTTTATATATAAATAATAAAGGTAAATTTTAGTAATCATTAAACTTGTGCATTAGGTATAACTTTAAGGTTATTATTTTATTTTATTTTTCAGAAACTGAAATATCCGAAATCAGTCTTTTTCATCATCAGTAATGAGTTCTGTGAGCGCTTTTCTTATTATGGCATGCGAGGTAAATATGAACTTCATTTTAAAAATTATAATATAGTGTATAATATTAAACATTCGTTTATTATTTTCAAATAGTTATATATCAAATAAGTGTGGCATATTCTACCACACTACTCACAGTTTCACTTCAATATAAAAATGGGCTTCTCAAGGTTTTTTTTTTTTTTCTAAAGAAATATAGTCAAACTATTTTTAAAATATAATTTCCAACGGTCCCGAAGATGTAAAGTTTTCGAGTTACCAATAACCAAAACAAAGGAGATCGAATTTCTATTAGAAGATATGCAAAAAGTTCAAAATATTCCATAACTGTGTAATGAATATTCCAATTAAGACGATCTTTTTTTGGTGAATCTTTCAAATAAGTATAACTACATATAATCAAAGGTTCATTGTTGAAAATAATAAACCAAAAATATATATACAATACTATATTATTACGATTACTGCTTCGATTTCGTTGATTCTTTTTTTCTCTTTTAGGGCATTTTGTTACTTTTAAAAATCATCAGAAAGTAAAGTTTTTTTTTTATATGTTTTGTGTCATAACGATTTAGATCACTTTATATGTTTGCCTTACCATTATAATTTGCAGAAATAAGAGCGAATAAAATTTAAAGTCCATTATTTTGAAACGAAATTATGGACGTTTTAGCCGAGTTATGAGGGTCATCTTTGGGTGATCTCTGCCATTGGTAAATAAACTCAAAACAATTATTCCAGAAGCTTCGAAGAACAATGACATCAAAGCGGAAAAATAATAAATAATAAAGTGAAATTCACTTTTGATAATATTTTTTAGTGGTTTCTTATCCTTGAACAGTTAAAGAATAAACTCTTGCTATATTTTTCCGAAAAAAATATGTTTGGTACAAAAGAGGGATCAAAAAATGATATTTTAGCCCATTAAAAAAACAATTCAATCATTCAGGTATATGTTTTCCTTATTTCTTTATTCTCAACGATAACAAATTGGAAATTTGAGAATATATACCTCACATATAAAAGAATATAATACATCAATAACCCGTTCAATTGTTTGGGTTATTAAGATATGTGGTGTACAGTGTTTTTTTTATTTTTTTTTTGTTTTTTTTTATAAAACACGGAAAAAAGATTGAGGGATAATTTAAAAAAACTTCCATCGACTTCCAGCCCTAATAAGGCATTTCTCTGATCCAGATATCTTGGAGAAGCTTCTATAAAAATTTCACTTGCAATGAAGTGTAGTTCCTAATATGTAATGGCTTCTGTGCAATTTTTTGTGTTAAAAGATGAAGGCGGTTTGGCTTTAAAGTGACTTGTTAAATGATGTATTGTTTATTACAACCGGCCGTACATTGCTAATATATACTTTTGTATAAAATCTTTTTTTTTATCATTATTTCTTAATGATATTTACAACTGTATTAAAGAAATACATTTAGCAAATAGTATAAAATCTAAATCAACATTCGTAAAATCCGCCAGAATCTTAAACTAAATAAGAAATAGAAATTTTAGTTAAGTAGATGTTATTCCGAAGGTATTAAAAAACAAAACAAAGAAAACCAAATAACCGTTCTTATTAATTCATTTGTTTAATCCAGTTTTTAAAAAATTCAGATAATGTTTCAGAAACTCAAAATATATTAAATATTATTGAAAAAAAAATTGTATTCGTTTTTCAAATCCGACCAATCCTGGTACTTAAAACCTCAAATTTTGAAGGAAGTTTAAGTTTCTGGTCGATTATAATGGTTCATTATTGAAAATTATAAACCAAAACTATTTTAAAATCGCGATATCTTTATTAATAGTGCTGTGATTTCAATCAAACCTTATTCCTTTTTTATAAAATTTAAATATCTTTGAAACATTTAATTACAATATCATCAAAAAGTCTATACTTATTGAGTTATTTGGTCTAATTCTACCACCCCTATTACCTTTTTTCCAGCTTCTTTTCGTTTGTTATATAAATAAATTTAAAGGGCATCAAGTATTTAGCCTAGTTTAATTGAAATCGATAGATTCGATTAGGCACCACGGTCTATAGCAACCCAGGTTTTTCGGCCACCATCTTGAAACAAAAAGGCGGATAGTAAAATCGATATAGAAGGATCATCCCCGGATGACCTCTGGCTTTAAATCCAAATTTGAAAAAAAAAAATCGGTCCAGTAGTTTCGGAGAAAATGCGCGGACGTCGGACGGACAAACATTTTTTATTTGATTCTGGAATTCTACGTATCGTGAAAGGTAAAATCTCAAATTTCGAGCGGGGAGGGGTTAAGTTTTTGAATTTTTTGGTCGATTACAATGATCCATTATTGAAAATAAAAAACCAAAAGGACATTCAACAAATTGTAGTAATGTACTATGAGAACGTAATTCCCAAAAATGTAGTCCAACCTTAGCCCACTATTAATTAATTATTAATAATTGAACATAATTTTTCAAATTAGTGTTTGTAAAAAATATAATATTCGTTTTCGACTTAATTTGTATCAATATATATATATATATATATATATATAGTTTATATATATATATATATATATATATATATATATATATACCGAAAAGCTGATTCTTAATGAGTTTTCTCTTATGCCTACTGATATTATCATAAATAAAATGATAAAATCTATCGTAAAATCCTGCAATATAGCATTCAAAAGATCCGGCCATTTCAAAGGTCGAACTAGAAAAAGATCAGTACCTTGGTGGAACCCTGAACTAACTGGCTTGCGTAAAGAGACAAATCATCTAAGAAGAAATTACCAGCGGACAAAAGACGATGGACTAAGGGAATCAAGGAGAGTGATCTATCTCAAAAGTAGGCAAGCATATCAAAAGCTAATTAAAAGTTCCAAATTAAAGTCCTGGAAGACATTTGCTACTGCATCAAAGGCGTGGCAATGGCCATATAAGTTTGTATCCAATAAAATAAAACCTCAAACCTTACTCACTACCACTTTGAATGAACTAGGAACATACACAACAGACACTAAGAATACATTATCTCATATATTAAATAAGATAATCAAAGATGACAATACAAGTGATGACACTAACGAAAACAGACAAATGAGAACAGAAATACTTATCCCGCCTAATAATGACGATGACACTAATATCCGGGATTTTGAAATATTACAAGTTATTAATAAATTGGATGACAAGAAAGCACCAGGAATAGACAAAATTGACCCAAGAATGATAAAAAAGATAGCTGACTCCTTTCCAAAATTGATAACTGGACTTTATAAAACCTTATTCAAAAGAAATGAATTTCCTAAAAGCTGGAAGGTGGGTAAATTAACATTGATTCCTAAGGCTAATTCATTTTCACTGAGACCACTAAGTATGCTTCCTGTAATGAGTAGAATTTTTGAAAAAATAATAAAAAATAGATTAATGCATCATCTACTTAGTAACAATATACTCCACCGACACCAATTTGGATTCAGACCCCAATCAGGAACTGACGATGCACTCAGTGAATTGAACGACCATATCACCAGTACACTCCGGCAAAATAGTAATTTATTGGTTGTTTCTTTGGATATCGCGGGTGCCTTTGACAACGCCTGGTGGCCTGCGATTTTAAATAATCTAAAGAAATATAAATGTCCAAAAAACATATACAAAATCATTCAAAATTATTTTTCTGACAGAAAACTTGCAATCCAAACAAACTTTCATTATATTGACAAGAAATTGACGCTAGGAACTCCTCAAGGATCAGCACTATCACCTATACTATGGAACATCTTAATCAATACTGTTTTCGAAATAGACCTACAGGAAAATTCAACATTATTAGCATACGCAGACGATTTATTATTACTTATAAAACGAAGAGATTTCGATGAATTACAGACAATAGCAAACATAACATTATCAAGGCTGAGACGATGGACTAGACGCAACAAACTTAAATTTAATCTAGACAAGACAAAATATATAATCTTCACAAAAAAGAGAATTGTACCAGAATTGGATATTCGACTCAATACAGTAAGAATAACGCAATGTGATACATTATCATATTTAGGGCTTCTCTTTGACAGAAAACTGAATTGGAACAGACATATAGATAATCTATATGACAACACTTTAAGGATTATAAATGGACTATCAGTGGCTGCAAGAGCGACATGGGGACTCAGATCGGAAGTGTTGAAGGAAATTTATGAAGCTGCTGTACTTCCAAAGATGCTCTACGCTGTGCATGTCTGGCATCCGGCCGTTGAACGTAAGAAAAATTTGGTGAAGTTGGAAAGGCTTCAGAGGTTAATTGCGATTAAGATATGCAAGGGCTATCGTACACTATCATTCGAGGCCACAATATTATTGGCAGGGCTGTTGCCAATCCAAATGAAGATTGAAGAACGAACGACCTTATATAACATTAGAAAAGGAAAGAGAGGATACAAAGACCTGACCCTAGACAAAATAGAAAGAATTACTGACTGTAAATCTTGGTTACACCCTGCAACAAGTTTGTGGACTGGACCGGGAATTACTTCTGAAAATACTGATGTTTTCACTGATGGTAGTAAGGACGGCGAGAATGTTGGATGTGCATGGTTGTTCAGAGCTCAAGATGGTAGGAATATAGAACATCAATATAAATTAGAATCATATTGCTCAAATAATCAGGCAGAAAAATTCGCTGTTTTAAAGGTTACTGAATACATATATGAATACCCTCTACAAACGAATACTCACGTTACTATAAATACAGACAACAAAGTTCTGCTAGACTCTGTTAATAATTGGGACATTCATGATTACTTGACTGACCAAATTAGAAACAAATTGTTAATGATGAGAACTGTAGGGAAAGTAGTGACTCTAAAATGGGTAAAAGCACATTGTGGGATTGAGGGCAATGAACGAGCCGATTGCCTTGCAAAAGAAGCAGCTAAAAGCGATTTGCCGCCATCGTATCATCAAGCTCCTTTATCGTATATTAATATGAATTTAAAGTTGGATTTCATCAAAAGATGGGA